CTGTTATTACTTCGTTTCAGAAATTTTACGTATTGCTATTTTGTTTTTCCTTCAAGTGAAATAGAATTTATAAAAAAGTGGAGCTTTTCTGTTCATATTAATTGTTCTACAGAAAAACACGAAGACTCCGTTTCGCAATCGGCTAGCGCGTTCGGCTGTAAACTGAATGGTTGGTGGTTCGAGCCCACCCAGGGGCGGCATTCTATATTTGTTTTTCCTTCAAGTGAAATAGAATTTATTAAAAAGTGGATCTTTTTCTGTTCAGATTAATTGTTCTTCACAAACACGCGAAGCCTCCGTGGCACAATCGGCTAGCGCGTTCGGCTGTTAACCGAAAGGCTGGAGGTTCGAACCCACCGGGAGCGGCATTCTGTATTTGTTTTTCCTTCAAGTGAAATAGAATTTATTAAAAAGTGGATATTTTCTGTTCAGATTAATTGTTCTTTAGAAACACGCGAAGCCTCCGTGGCGCAATCGGCTAGCGCGTTCGGCTGTTAACCGAAAGGTTGGTGGTTCGAGCCCACCCGGGGGCGGCATTCTATATTTGTTTTTCCTTCTGAAATAGAATTTATTAAAAAGTTTATCTTTTCTGTTCAGATTAATTGTTCTTCAGAAACACACGAACTCTCCGTGGCGGAGTCGGCTAGCGCGTTCTGCTGTTAACCGAAAGGTTGGTGGTTCAAGCCCACCCGGGGGCGGCTTTGTATACTTCTTATTCCTTCAAGAGAAATAGAATTTATTAAAAAGTGTATATTTTTTTTCTGTTCAGATTAATTGTTCTTCAAAAACTCACGAAGCCTCCGTGGAACAATCGGCTGTTAATCGAAAGGTTGGTGGTTCCAGCCCGCCCAGGGTGGCATACTATATTTTTTTCCCTTCAAGTGAAATAGAATTTATTAAAAAGTGGATTATTTTTCTGTTCATATTAATTGTTCTTCATAAACACACGAAGCCTCCGTGGCGCAATCGGCTAGCGCGTTCCGCTGTTAACCGAAAGGCTGGAGGTTCGAACCCACCCGCGAGCGGCATGCTCGGCATTCTATATTTATTTTTCCTTCCAAGTGAAATAAATTGGATCATTCTATTCAGATTATTTGTTCTTCAGAAACCCAGAGCCTCCGTGTCGCAATCGGCTAGCGATTCGGCTTGTATAACCAAATGGT